TTTGCAAGAGGGTGCAAGAAAGCAGGACTCACCTCCTCTACAAGTGCCGCTACACTAGAAGGCTATGGTCTTTGTTCATTGACAAATACCACATTCTCGGGGTCGACACAAACGTTCGGCCCTTGTTCGACTCGGTTGAGACTTGGTGGGCATGTACTTGTGACAGCACCACACCATTCAGAGAAACCAAGGCATCCCTCACCATGCTTGTCTCATGGACAATTTTGAACGAGGGAAACGCAAGAGTGTTCAAGCAGAAGAGCGCGCCACCGACTATATTGCTTGCCTCCATCAGAACCGGGCTAGCCTCTGGATCATTGCTGGTGCAAAAAAAAAACTAGGGTACATAATATTGCGAGAGTAATTCCCATGCCGTGTAATCGGGCTGCTTGTAACAAACTGTATTCTCCCTTATTTAATAGATGAGGCAAAGCTTTTGCCTCCGTTTAAAAAAAATCTATGCAACGTCGTGCTCCCAAAGCCACATTATCTGAATTATGTCGGCTTCTTCAGAGCAGGTTCGGTCGCTATCAACATCAGGTACTCGCTTGCAGAATGTTTCATACACTTCCGCTTCGGTAGACCCCCCCTTAAACACATCAACGGTTGTGATTATCCCATACCTTTTTATAATAAAGGGCATGATGGTCGTTTTCTGAAAGTATATATATCGTCCGCATTAATATCTTCGATACGCGTCTGTGTACGAACGAGCGCGCCGTTACTACCACGAACAACTGGGCCGGCCCACCAGGCACTAGGCCACTTGCCATTCAAGGGAAGACATAATAAAAATCGTGGAAAAAAGGCAAGTTCGCTCGTGCAATCGAGCTCGTTACCTCGTCCTTCAGACTGTAGTCTGCCACTCCACTACGCTGCCCATTGGTGTTTAAAATAGCACAAAGTATATAAGAACACACTAAGCCGGTGCTCAAAACCAATCCATCGACCCATCAATCTCTCAAGAAATAGTTTGTTTTATTCGCACTCGATCTAGCGACCTCTCGAATAATAAAGCTTGTAAAAAAACATGGGCGACCAGCTAGACAGTACATGTTTTTTATGGTTAGATGAAGGGAAATAGCCTTTATGACTTCAACTTTCTATAAGTACTACCTCCATCTCAGTTTACAAGCCCCCTACGCGTATACCTAGGTTGTCCATTTTATCACCCTAATATAAACTATATAACACAAAAATTATACCTTTTGAAAATAGAAATTCTGAAGTTTATATTGGTATATTTTTTGTAATATATGACTTGTATTAGGTTGGTCAAATTGACGACCTAGGGGTACGCGCACGCCCTGTTAACTGAGGGAGAGGGAGTATATATATTATTAATTGTAGGCTTCCTGCCATTGTGGAGATATTTTCTAAAATGCCAAAACGCCTCATTCACTTGAGGCATGTGAGGAAACACCTTTGTTGTTTCTAGGCGTTTCACAAAAATGCCTAAAAAAATATTAAGGCTACTAAAAAGAACACCTCAAATTACTTTTTATGCACGCAGTCTGCCATAGAAGACAACTTGACCCAGTCGGACGTCTTTCTCTAACAACATAGGGACATCTTAGATTTTGACATAGGGACCTCAATTTTGATGGACCGGCCCTGCAACACACAAACACCCCAGCTCCAAGGAGGAAAAACGTTCATCGATTTGAAAAAAAAATCACAAATTAAATACTTTATTCACGAGAGGCCGCCCGACTGGGCCGATTCACTGTCATGCGCGAAAACAGGGGAAAATAGAATAATAGTTTGAAGTACCTGTTTAAATTGTGATTTTAAATATATTTTTCAAACATGACATGGATGCCTACCATGGGCATGCCACCTGGCATACGTTGAGGTCATTTAATGAATGTACAAAAAGACACCATGTTCAATGGAGGGTGTTCGACCAGAAAGCTCCATCTAAGGGCATTTCGTTTCCCGACATCCTTGAAATGGCCTTGATGACCAATTCAAGGCACCATGTCAATTTATTTTGGTTTTTGATAAATTTTGTATTTTCTAGGCATGCCCAAGGTAGGCATCCGTGCTAGGTTTGAAGAAAAAAGTATTTAAATCATAATTTATATAGTTACGTAAAACTGTTATTTAAATTTTCCCTATTTTTGCGAGCAACAATGGGCTAGCCTAGTCGGTCAGCCTCCTGTGAAAAAGTATTTAATTTGTGAACATTTTTTCAAATCAATGAGCTTTTCAATTTTGCAATTTTTTTATCAAATTCATGATTTTTCAAATTGATTAACTAATTTCAATTTCGCGAACCTTTTCATCCTTGGAGCTAGGGCTAGGCATAAAATTTTAATATGCGTCTGATTTTATGATCATGTATGGCGTACAAAATTTCATTGAACTTAATTTCCTGTGAGAGAGAGAGAGAGAGAGAGATAAACAGACGGAAATTAATTTTTGCACCCGAGCTCATCTACACCCGCACCGACGAAAAAATTCAAAACAAATACTAAAAAAATTCAAAAAATTCCAAATAAATTTTGTGTGGTACAAAATTTGATTCGTGAGGCCCGCTCCAAATTTCAAGTCATTTGGAGATATGAGCAGCTCTCAGCAAAAAAGACAAATCGGGGGTCTATAAAAATATTTACTGTTCATGTACTGTTTTGGCCCGATCCAAATTTCAGGTCATTTGAAGATATGAGCAGCTCTCAGCAAAAAAGACGAATCGGGGGTCTATAAAAATATTTACTGTTCATGTATTGTTTTGGCCCGATTTGTCTTTTTTGCTGAGAGCTGCTCATATGTCCAAATGACTTAAAATTTGAAGCGGGCCTCACGCATCAAATTGGCTACCACATAAATATTATTTGGAATTTTTTAATTTGTTTTGAATTATTTACGATTTTTTTTCTAACCGGGTGCAGATGAGCCTGGGCACCAAAACGCCCTACTCATAAACAGACCCTTAATTTATACTCGCATGATTTTAGAAGGACATGTAATTTCCGCTGGACAGCTTTAGAAAACAAATCGGAATCAATTCCGTTTGTTACGTGCAAACTACCTATGGGAAGCCACGTTGTCAAGTCAAATCCAACCAGCCAAAGCTTTCTCATCCAACGATGGTGGCTGGCCTAGCGCTCTAAGAAAAGTAGGCTGAGAAATTAACTATAATAAGACTAAAAGAAATAACGAACACAACAAGTGCGCTGTGCCAGTTGGTTACCGTGGGTGGAAGTAAAATCAAGAGGTTTGGAATTCAAATCCTACATCACGCATATACTTTTTGAATTTAAAAATAAAAAAAAATTAGCCAGGCCCGGAGGGAGGGATTTGGGATTGGTTGTGTACGTCTACGCTAGTACATGACCATACTGCCCTTACACGGTTTGTGAGGGGGTCTACCGAAGCAAGCCTCTGTTTCATATTACCTGTAAAGTATAGTAGAAGATTATAGTGAGCGCTTCTCTGAATTATACGACTAGTTATCTGTCTATTACTATGAGACAGCCCCTGATGCTTTGCAGTATGTTACTCGCTTTTTGGGTGGGCTGCAACTGTCTGTTCGAATACAGGTTACTCTTCAGAATGCAGCTGGGTGGCCAGAGAGGTTATGATAAAATTTCTAACCTAGGCTCTTCCAACTCAACTTATGTAACGGGAGCGTTGAAACTACCCTTCTCGGTCTGTGGGTATCTAACTCACCCGGTTAGAAACTTCTTATGGGGGCAAAAAAAAAAGGATGAGCTTGATATATTCTCCATGCCTCCGACTTTGCGAGAGTATGGAGTGATTGGTCAAATGGGCGCAGCACCATCGCCGGACTGATCAAATCAGTTGAGGACCCTGTGATCGAAACTATTGGATGTTGCCACCACGAAAGCTGAAACATTCACGTGCTCAAGCTTGAAGACTGAAGCTAGCCCTATCCTACTCTAGTACTTCATTTGTCCCAAAATAAGTGTCTTAGTCTTAATATAACTTTATACTAAGTTAGTATAAAGTTAAGACACTTGTTTTATGATGGAGGAAGTAGTACTGTACATAATGTATGTATTGTACGCATGGAACACGCAATGTCTCATGCGTGTTGTGTTGGTGGCTTCTGCAGGCAACGTCAAAGGCAGCGAATCCAAACCAGCGACGCTTGCTACGGAGACGGAGGCAGGATATTTTGCTGCTCCTGCAGCCTGCGCGTTTTGACCGAGCGCTCACTCCAGCAGAGTCGCTGTCGCCGTCACGGGAATCAAAAGGTAGACGTGGATTCTCGCCTGGATCCTGTCCGTTCATCCGTCCGTCAGCGTGGGCCGTACGAACAAAACCCTTTCACCCGGCCGGGAGGTTTGGCATCCCATTCGGCCGGCGTTCACTTCACATCCATCGATTCGGCCGTGTCAATGCTTTTTATCATGATCTTTTTCTGTATGATGATGCGAACGTAGTACGTGAATGGAGGAAGCATAGGGTACGTCCGCGTGAGCATCAGATGTTGATCACCAAAAGGGTAAAGGCACACCGACTGTTTCTTTTTTGAGGGAAAAAAAATAAGAGTACCAGCTGTTTGACACTTGAAAGACAACAACGGTCAATCATGGTAAACAAAAAGAAAATTGAAGCCTACACTGAACGAAGGTTTGAGTTTCATTTGCAGCTAAGCTACCACTGTGACCGTTACTGCCATGGTCAGCTGTCTCTCTGGGCATGCACTGTGACAGCTTGCACGAAGACCGACCGTTACCGTCGCCCTCCAGTCCCAACGGCTCCGGAGCCCCGACCTGCGAAATCCCAATAACACCCTCACGTCTAACTGCACGCGTGCGCTACGGCAATAGCTTTGCTTGCTTTTCTCTTGCCCTTCACGCCGTCGCCGGCCCCTGTTCTTATCCGTCGTAGTCCCTTCCACCTCCGCCTCCCTTCTCCAGCAGCAGAGCACACGCTGTCACACACACTCCAGAACTCTAACAACCCACATCCATCTCTAGCTTCTACCAGCTGAAGCGCACTAGCAATCTAGCAACAAGGCAGACTCCATGGACGCTGCGGAGTCCTCCACTTCGCCCTACTCGCCGCCGTCGCTGCGCCACAAGCTGCGGACCACCGTGTGCGGCTGCTTCGGCTCGCCGTCGTCGCCGGGCAGCAGCGGGGAGAGGCCGCACAGCGGCGGACGCAGGATCAGGTGGAGGCGGCGCGTGGCGGCCGCGGGGGAATTCAGGTACGACGCGCTGAGCTACGCGCTCAACTTTGATGAGGGCGGCAGCGACGACGGCGACGCCGACGCCGACGCGGAGGACAACGCCTTCCGGCACAGAAACTTCAACTCGCGCCTGCCGCTCTCGCCGGCGCCGGCCTCCCGAGCCGTACGCCATCACCTGAACTCCTGAATCGTAGTAGCAACCGTCCTTCACTTCTGTAGCTTTTGTCCCTCTGAATTTTCTTCTTCACTAGTATGTAAAAGCAGTTTATACTGCCGGGGAAATCGTACGTAGAGGTGTAGTTAGCAGTAGCAGTGAACCCCCGTAGCATCATGTACACATACATATAGGAAATCAATCAATGAATTTTAATGTACCAATCGGTTCTCAATGCGAGGCAGGCGATACATGTATGTACACGGAGATGGAGAATTGGTTTGGTCGGGAAAAGGTTTCCCCTCTTTTTCTTTTTTTTTTGAGATTTTTTGGATGAAGAACTGGGTTGGTGGCGGGTGGAATCATCTGCCGTCGCCATCCTATTCCTCCATGTCCGTGTGGGCTGCGCGTATCCAACCATGTACGTCCGTGAAAGGGTGCTGCAAACTGCAAAGGATTAGCGAGTATAGCCATTAGCGAACAGTCAAAAATATCAAATCAACCGCGCACACACACGCGGGAAGAAAAATCTTTCTCTGCACTTTATTTCTTTATTTCTTTATATTCTTTCAGAAAAACAGGGGCGGACCTCGGTTCCATGGAAACGAGCCCACGCAGCTACATATGGACCGCTTGGATCCACTGTATGTTCTCAAAAAACAATCGACAGCTACATATGGATCCATACTAAGGCTTCCTTGGTTTGATGGAATTTCAAAGGAATTATATAGGATAGGATTCTTGTAGGAATTTTTTTCTTTAAAATCCTTTGGTTCATAAGAATGGATTCCTATTCCTACATAGGATTGGTTTCTATCCTTCACATTTCAAAGAAAATAAACATGAGTCTAGACTCAATGAAAAAATTCCTATGATGTGAACCAAATGACATCTCTTTTCCTAATCATACTCATAGAATTTAAGATATATGTCATCTCATTTTTTACAAGTTTCCTATTCCTGTGATAATCCTATCCTATGAACCAAAAAAAGCCTAATACTATACGACTGGCCTTAGCCCCCACCCCTGTTTCGTACTCCAATCGACGAAGTTGCATACTGTAGCTGTCCTGGTACTACAATCATTCTTTTGCGGGTGACATGTTGGGAATCGAATTGGGGAGGTCCAGCGACCATGTGGGATTCCGTGTGCTCTCCGGCTCTTCTCGAGGATAGCGAGAGCGGAAGGATCGAGCCGAGTTTGGATTGCTCTGCGATTTGCCGATTTGGCAGCTGAGCGACGACAAAGCGCGCTCTCGATCTCATTATTTTGCTCCCATAGAGAACTCTGAGGGTGGTCATAGTGGGAAGTATCATATACTAGTCTCATGCATATGATATTAGTGCATGATACTACATCCATACTATATAGTGTCATAGATTATTAGTATGATAGGTGGTCTTATTTATTGCCATGCATGACATATAGTACCGTAGAATTTATTATGATACTCAACCCTCTTTTTCTTCATTTAATTCTATATCACATCATCAAAATTGCCTAGTTGACATGCATGATACTAGCTATTATACTCACACTACAACTAGCCTGAAGCAAGTCGCGCTTTGGCTGGACAGGAATTGTTTTTTTTTTGTTCTTTTACTTTTGTTTTTATAGCTTTTTCACTTTGGCCATGAGGAGGGTGCAGGGGAACCTATTAGGTTCTATGTGCAGATCCAGGACCAGGAGGACATTAAGGGCGTGTTTGACAGCCGTTCTAGTGCAGCCTGGCTCAACAAAGTCTGGCTCACTGGAGGCTGGTTGAGGAAATACAAGCGAAAAAGTAACATCTGCACATTGTTTGGTTGCCCGCATCTAGGCCTCTCGCATTAATGAAGCAATTTTGGCATAGCGTTTGGTTGCCTGCATTGGCTCGACTCGCGCAAGTACACGGTGTTTGAGTGTATACACATGATATGATTAAGAGCTAACACTTACACTTAACACACACATAGTGCCTCGCAACTATAGTGGACGGTGACCGTGGCGCCGCGTCCGACACGATGAGCACGGAGTCTCGGGCGAGCATTCTTGCAGGCGCCGCAGCAAACTAGTTGATAGAGTCGCCGACATGGAGGAACTTCGTGTGGAGTAGCGCTGAGGCAAAGAAACGGGGAGGAGAAATGCAGTGCGTGTTGCCCCATGGCGACTGCGATGGACAGTGGCTGTGGCTTCGCGTCCGACACGACGAGCATGGAGTCGTGCGCGAGCGACCCCGTCGGCAGTGCGGCGAACTAGTTGCTAGCCTCATCGCCGCAGACAAAGTCCACACGGAGACAGTGGACAGAGGAGGAGGAATGCAGTGCTTGCGTCATGGCAGCGTCAGTGCAGTAGGACAAGAAAGCAGAGACTAAGATTAGCGACGTCAGAGACGACTCTAGTGTAGTAGGATGCGGGCAAGGTCAATAGGAACGTAGCCGGCGTCGAAAGGGACAAATAGGAGGGCTCTGATACAAAGGACACATGAGAAGAAGTATAGTGTGCGCGTAATTACGGTGTCGATGCAGTAGGATCGTCAAAACAGAAAACTTGCAACATGAATGTTGTGTGGAATTGCGTGATGAAGCTTCCGGTTAAAGAAAATTTCAAACGATCGACCGTACATGACAAAGTTGACAAAATCGTGCAAAATAACTTCAAACATGAATACAAAATTGAGCATTTACGGTCGACGAAACGATGAACTGATCGCAAAAATGGAACCATAACATCAATGCGTATCTTTTTCGTGTAGAGCTTATCTCGAATTAAAGCACCGTTGTGTCGATTAGAGAGGAGAAGGAAGAAAGCATATTAGGGAGGAGCTTAGTGGAGGTAGAAGAAGAAGCACGTATGAGCTTAGTGGAGGTAGAAGAAGAAGCAGGTACACAGCTTGCATCCTTCCGGACTCCTCTTTTGCAAGGGGACCACCCATGTGCCCTCGTTGTGCATTGACCGGTCCTGGCTCTGAAGAAACTGCCGTTCAAGCGAGCTCGCAGGCCTGGCTAGGAGATGCTTTAAACTTCGTGCGATGTAGGCCCAACAGTGTACACACGTAACCAAACAACCCAGTTTCTTCCCGTGCGGGCCTGGTTGGCCCAAATACGGGCAACCAAACACACTAACATGATAGTCATCCCGGTTGCCTTGAGGCCGGTGATGAGGTAGTGGCTAGTCCTTGGCCCTCCTCATGTCATCAGGCTCTCCGCCAACAAGTGGTGCGAGTTCTAGGTCCAGGTGTAGATGTTCAAGGGACACATAGTGCTCGGGCACGGCTGGGAGTATTTCTGCCATCGTCACAAGATCGTCCCTGGCGACCTCCTAGTCCTCAAGCTCGTCGGGCTGGGGCTGAAGGTGTAGAGCTTCAATGCCAAACCTCGAACATCTGTAGGGTCCCGTGCTCCAAGCAAAGTTGCGTAGCAACATCTCGCATGCCATGTAGTCATGTAGTCTGTCAAGTATAAACTGAAGTGGTTTAGGTCTGAACTTATGTTTAAACGTCTCTTTTGTTGTGAACATGTTCATATTTTGCCCAGGGACCAGCACCCTGGGGTCCAACAGAAGCATGGTATGCCATGTTGTTTTAAACTTATGCCTAGTAGTATTTACAATCTGTCAGTTCTTGATGTTTTTGCTTTGCTCTTGTTGTTCTTCTCTTGCTGTTGATTGTAGTGTGTCGTGTGCTCTAAAATGAGTGGTAAGTCCATCACATTTGAAAGGGGTGAGCAAACCAACTACTTGCACACAACCAAACAGCTGTGCTTTGCATCTACTCATCCCTAAGGCACAAACACATGCAAGCAAACTACATGCCTCCACTGGGCCTTGGTGCAATGGAGGCAACCAATGAACGTGCATATGTTGGATTTTTGTCCGCATTACCTCAACCAAGGTCAGATGGGTCAAGCATGCAAAGTGGCAAAAAATAGAAAATGGTACAGGTAACCAAACACATCCCAGCTGACTTCGGACACAACATTTGAACGCTCTCGCAGGCGGCCAAAGAGGCTATGATAAAAATTGTAGCCCAGGTTCTCCCAACTTATGTAATGGGAGTGTTCCAACCACCCTTCCCAGTCTGTGATGATCTAACTGCCTAGTTAGAAACTTCTGGTGGGTGTAAAAAAAGTCTAAGCTTAATATATTCTTCGAGCCTCCGACTTTGCAAGAGCATGGAGTGATTGATTAAACGGGCAAAACACTATCGCCGAACTGATAAGATCATTTGAGGGCTTGAGGTCCCTTTGATCGAAACTATTGGATGGCGCCACCACGCAAGCTGAAACATTCACGTGCTCAAGCTTGAAGTTAGCCCTATCCTACTCTAGTACTGTACTAGTGTACGAGATGTGCATTGGGCGCATGAAACACGCACGGGATGTGTCGTGCGTGTTGTGTTGGTCGCTTCTGCAGTTCTGCAGGCTGCGTCGAGGGCAGAGAACCAAGCCAACCGTGCACGGAGACGGAGAGACGATAGTTTTTGCTGCTCCGCGGGTTGCACGTTTTGACCGCGATAATCCTACACCTACCTAGTGCCTACGAAGGCCTACGTAATCTTCCATACAACTAAACCTATCAGCCCCGGATTCTAACGGGGTGGGGCTGTGCCCTCCCATAGATCCAATAACCTCTCTCCAGATCACTGCTTACGTAAAACACGTAACAGACCGTATAGCATTGCCCGACGAGCTTTGCTACATCTACGCGGCAATTCTCACGGAGAGAAGGTTACGGGCTAACATGGCCCAGTTAAAATCAGGAGGTGGGGTCAGTTTACAATCACAGGGGAGAATTTATAGTGAAGAGGGCGACACATCTTTCCATAAGATCAGTCCGTAGTGGTTTTCACCGTAAGTATAGGATTTTTGTTGCCCGACTGACCGAGCGCTCAGAGCATTACTAGTAGTACCCCTAAACCCTCAAACTCTCAAAAATAACCACTTTTTTACGGGTTGAGACAAAAAATTCCCCAAAAATAGAACCCCTTAACCCTTAAACCCTCAAAAAAATTTAGAGGCTCAACCCCTATTCTCCTTCCCAGCATGTAGAAACA